CCTTTTTATGGAATGACCCTCGAATTATCCATGAGTCATATAAAAATCCCCAATCTTGGTCTCCAAAATTGCCCTTGATTTATACATAAAGTTGACTTATACATGAGTATATACAGTTGGGAAAAGAATAAAGTGGAAGTTCCTGGTCAACAACAACAACAACAACAACAACAATAACAACAACAACAACAACAACAACAACAACTTTATTTTTATACACAGCCTCCATCTCACCGAAGGGACTCGGCGTGGCTTACTTGGGGCCAAGCCCAATCACACAGAGTTAAAAACATAGCATAGAAAAGATAACAATAATATTTTAGCTTTGAAGGGTACAGCTGTAGCTCCAGGATGTACCATGTTTGAATGCTTTCTCCTAAAGCAAATAACCTGGTCTGTTCTCATGCACCAGCCTATATCAGGATTCATTTAAACTGTAGAATCAATGTACTTTTACTATCATGGCTCAATACTATGGAATCCTGGGATTTATAATTTGGCGAACCACCAGCACTTTTTGATAGACAAGGCTAAATACCTTGTAAAACTACAACTTCCATGATTCCATAACACTGAGCTATGGCTGTTAAAGTGGTGGCAAACTTCATTAATTCTACAGTGTAGATGCACCCTCATTAATAAAGCCTCTGACAAAGAACAAGCTATTTACAAAGGGTTGTTCTACCCAGCCTTACAAGCCCTGTTCCCTCCCCGCCCCCTGCCGCCTCCATTGATATCTATCTAGCATGATTTTTTTTAACAATGTCATTCAAGATATAGAGAAGGAGAGCTAAAATCCCAAAGGTTTGCTGAAGAAAATGATTTCCTAAAACATAAACTGAGAAAGAATGAGATTCTACTGTAGTTAATTTTTATATTTGAATGTGTGCCTACCAAAACCAGGAAGATAAATCGCTTGCTAAATATCCATGAATGGCAGAACAGAGAGAAAAGGGAAAAACAGATAAGCAGTCTCACCAGCTGTCCTTACTATGTTAAAAAACATATATTGGTTTGACTACCAAAATAGAAATCATAACAAAAGTAGAGGCGGATGAATGAGGGGAAAATCCTTCCTGGAGTATTTTGGGGAAAACTTTCTGTGGTCTCCAAGGCTCCTTCTTCACTGCTATATAAAATCCAGATTATCTGCTTTGAAATGAATTATATGGCAGTGTAGACTCATATAATCCAGTTCAAATAAAATAATGTGGATGACGTGCTTTGATAATCTGGACTATATGGCAGTGTGGAAGGGGCCCAAAAGGGTCAAACTTTTTTGTTTACTTCCACAAGGTTTACCGAGCTGGTTATTTCCTTTCACATATGTACAGTATATTGTACCTTTTGATAAACATTGAGGTGCTCTTCGTTTTAAAAAAAATGTAGGAACACATTCCTGCATACAATGGGATATAGGAGTAGTATTCCTGTGAATGGCTTCCTGGCTTTTCTTTTTCTCTCTAAAATTGCAACTATGCATATAGTCAGTTTTGACCCCCCAGAACTTTCCTCAACTTATACATCCTCATTTATAAGTCAATTATAAATTATAGATTTTATACGACCTATTTGAGAAATCAGGGATTACTCAGTGGTGAGTGGAATGAACCAATGCTTCCTCAAATGGACAAACTCTCCCGGTCACTACTGCCATTTCACTGTCCAGGTATTCAAAAACACCAAAGGCGGCACCAAGACACTGAAAGTAGAGGCCAATCAGTGCTTGTTTAGGTCCTCCTTGAGATGGGCTAAGCTCTCGCCTTTCACCACTTAACCCATAGAAGGGGATGAATCCTTTTTTTTATATATAAGAGTTAAGGTATGGTTCTTACATTGACCTACAAATAAGTCAATCCAACTTTGTAGGAAGTGATGTTTGTTGAGAATTTGCGGAGAGACATATTTTTGCAGATGATTTTTGAAGATATTCAAAGCCTGCTTTTCCAGCATGTGGAAAACAAGAGTGTCAGGGAAGATTGTTTAACTTCCCTGGGAAATGAAGCATTAAAATAACACCAGCAGGTGCACCTTGATCAGTCAGGCTCAGGTGGGAACAATTACTTACGGACTTTCATCATTTTGCCTTGTCATTTTCTTTTGGTTGTCCTTCCACTTTTCAAACGTCACACGTGTTGCTGCAATGGCGGCACACACCGGTTCTGCTCTAGATGACCCACGGAGCCCCACTGGAAGTACACATGTGTAATGAGATGGGAGCCAGTGGGCTCCGTGGGTCAATTCAGGTTTGACTGGTGTATGCCGCTGAAAACAGCCCCTCCTGATGAGGGAAAATATCTTAAAGATATTTTAATGTACCTTTGGATCTGCTTCTTGGGCCTTAATACAGAGGTGATTCTGCTAGCATTTTTACTCAAAATGGCATTGGATTTCTGTTTTAATAGTTGGCGTATTGTGCTCATGACTCAGTTCGAGAATCACAGTGTCATTTGTAGCTAGAGTTACCGGAGTGAAAAGTGGAGAGAGTTCTTGTATCTTTACTATTTTTGTAGAGGAGAGAATTTCAGGTGGTGCAGTTTGTCATGCAACCAGGTAATAAGAAGCTTTTTTTGTCATGTCAGGAGCGACTTGAGAAACTACAAGTCGCTTCTGGTGTGAGAGAATTGGCCATCTGCAAGGACGTTGCCCAGGGGATGCCCGGATGTTTTGATGTTTTACCAACTTTGTGGGAGGCTTCTCTCATGTCCCCTCATGGAGAGCTATAGCTGATAGAGGGAGCTTATCCGTGCTCTCCCTGGATTCAAACCTCTGACCTGTTGGTCTTAAGTCCTGCCGGCACAAGGGTTTAACCCACTGCGCCACCAGAAGCTGAAACTGCTTCTGAAATACTCTTTTTTACACAACTATTTGAGGGGCAGTAGCCCTTTCCACTCTGGCAATCTAATTTATAATGAATGAAACTGTCATTTGGTGAATAGCCTAGCAAGATGACAATTAAAAAACTATAGCAAATTTTATTAATATGCAAAGATCAGATAGAGGCTGTGAAGCAGGCTGGAAAAGAGTCCTCAGGGCAGAGCTTTCCAAACTTTTCATGTTGGTGATATGCTTTTTAGACATGCTTCCTTTCACAACATGGTAATTCAGTTTTACTAGCATACAATAATAAGAATATATTTGTAGTATATAGATAGATAAGCTTCATATGATCTTTACACTATAAACAAGGTTTGGATTCCCCCCGCCCCCTTGACCCTTCTAGTGTACTGAAGTTGATTCTTGTGTAATTTCTTCTATAGCTGTTCAATGTGGTTCAACACTACCATAATTGTCAACAGATATTCTTTTCTTTATTAGAAATGTATTCATTTTGGTGGTAATTATTGCAACTCGATCAACCATAAATGTGCAAATATAAAAGTTATAACAATACCTACCTACACTTGAACAACATCAACATTCCACTTCTGTAGGTTTTTAAACCTTTCTGTGGGTTTTTAAACAGGATGACCATCCAAGTGTGATTTGATTGTGTGTTCCTGCCTGGTTGGAAGGAGTTGGATTACATGCCCTTTGGCGGTCTCTTTCAACTCTGGTGTATAGATTGCCTTGGAGTCCAGTGGAGACTCCTTCTCTTGAAGTGTTTTGAACTGAGGCTTGATGGCTGTGTGTTGGGAAAGCTTTGACTATGTCTTCTTGCCTGGCTGAAGGGAATTAGACTGGATGCCCTTTGAGGGTCTCCCCTTCCTACCATAGCGCCCCCCCCCCGAGCCCCTAATTTCCCTTGATCTCCTTTTCTTCTTCCTCCTCCTTGGTTGTGGCTGGTACTGCTCTTTGTGCCATTGCCATTCGGGGGCAAGGCAGAGAGCCAAGGATGACGATGAATAAGAAGGTAGCAGGGCCTTGGCCTTGATCTCTGTACCACCTTAGAAGTGGCCGCCACTACTTCCTTTCTCCTCCTCCTCCTCCTCCTCCTCCTCCTCCTCCTCCCCCTCCTCCTCCTCCCCTCCTCCCCTCCTCCTCCTCCCTCCTCCTCCCCCTCCCCCTCCTCCCCCCTCCTCCTCCCCCTCCTCCCCCTCCTCCTCCCCCCCTCCTCCTCCTCCCCCCCCTCCTCCCCCACCTCCTCCCCCCCCTCCTCCCCCCCCTCCTCCCCCCCCTCCTCCTGGAGTAGCCAACATGCTTTCTTTCCCAACCAACTGCTAAGACTTTTAAGGGAAAGCAGCTTTTGTTTGCAGGGGGGGGGGAACATTTTTCATGTGACACACCTGAGGATGGCAAGCGACACGTTAGCGTGTCATGACACACAGTTTGGAAAGCTCTGTCTTGGACAATGTTCAGCCTGAGCTCCACGTGGCTCAAATTGAAAGAGATCAATGAATTATTGAATTAATTTGTGGTGGCCTTTTAAAAAAGATGTGGGTTAATATTCTTTATTGCTCTGGAGGCTAGGATGCGGAAGAATGGCTTCAAACTACAGGAAAGGAGATTCCACTTAAACATTAGGAAGAACTTCCTAACTGTGAGAACTGTTCAGCAGTGGAACTCTCTGCCCCGGAGTGTGGTGGAAACTCCTTTGGAGGCTTTCAAACACAGGGTGGATGTCCATCTGCAGGGGGTTCTTTGAATGCGATTTTCCCGCTTCTTGGTAGGGGATTGGACTGGATGGCCCATGAGGTCTCTTCCAGTCAATGAGTCTATGAATCTTTAGAAAGATAGAGGCAATGTATCAAATAGTGTAGCTTGCTTTTTAGGTTGGCTTCAGAAAAAATAAGATACTAGAGAGATCTCTTGTCTGTGTAATAACTACCACATTTTTCTCCATTTAGCTGTCAGACAGTGACCTACTTTCTTTATTTTTATGTGTATTTTTTTAAAAAAGTTCATTGGTGTTATTTAGTGTACCTGTCTGGTTTTTGCAGCAGTTGTCTTCTATTAGTAATGGTTATTGGATTTCTGTGCTGTGGTGGGTTTTTTTTTCATGGAGGTAACAGAAGCTTGGTTTTTAAATTCTGACTTTTTTTGTCTTTCTTTCTCTATAGCTGGGATGCATGCTGTTTTTCTGACACATTTTTAAGGACCTGGAAAGCTGAAGGATGCCATCAGAAGTGTGCCTCAGGTATGGGAGCTGTTTCATCCAGTGTTCATTTTGTTCATGTCCATTTACTTGAGTGCTGCTAGTTTAGGATGACAGCATGGCAAACAGCAGGCATAAATATTGCATTAAAATGACTGAACTGAGCCATGGCTTTTATATTAATGTGGCAGACTGTTATTTCTTTTAATTTGAATATTTACTTATAGCAAGGCTTGGGGAGGGGCACATATTTTTGGTCTGTCTTGGACCTTAAAAGGCTGCCACTACAGTGGCCCCTCAGACTGTTGGGGGGGGGGGCATTATATATGAAAAAATATGAACTAATTCCTATGCACACTGCTCATATCTTATTTGTAATGCAAAAAATATGAAATAAAACTATAATATTTTAAATGAAAAACAACTTTAAACAACATAAACCTACCAGTATTTCAGTGGGAAGGGTGGCTCTGCTTTGGGCTGATGAGATAGTCAAGTTCAGTAGAGTTGTTGTTGTTATTGCTGTTGTTGTTGTTGTTGTTGTGTGCCTTCAAGTCATTTCAGACTTAGAACAACCCTAAGGGTGCTTCCACACTAGAGATAAACACATGATGAAGCAGGTTAAAAACCACCGCTTTGGTGTGTGTTTAAGACTTCCTGCCCCTCAAAACCCCTGCACTTTCCCAGGGGGGTGGCTATATGTGCCCCCTGTCTCCGGGCCTTTCAGGAAGGCCTGGATCTAATGGTGTATTTAATTAATTCAGAATAACAAAGGTTAACTGAATTAATTCTTTTCTTTTTTTACCAAGGGAGTCCAAACGATGCCCCCAGTAAAAACCTAGAAAAACCCCAGGATAGAGGCCTGTCTGGATGAGCCCCTAAGTCTAAAGTTTAGAGTTGGAGCCAAGTAAATGGCCTTAAAGGGCTGCATTCAGTTTGGGAACCCCTGATTTAGAGATTCTTTAGAGATAACATTTCCCTCTGCATTTGTAGGTCCTCCAGTGCAAATCTAGATTCAACATTGGCAGAAGTTGACCATAGAGTCATAGTGGAAGACCCAGAGATTCCTAGAGAGATGTTCTCATAGGTTAGAAAAAGGTATTGTTATTTGCCGTTTTTCCACCTTCACAGTGGTCCTTCAGTCCTAGCCCTTTGAAAGTAGAGGGACTTTTAGAACATCCCTCCAAGTTGGAGATTTCAAACAGCCATGAGTGGGTTCATAGGCTATATTGCCCTATAGAAATGCTTCAGTGGAACCTTTTTCATCCTGTGTTTACCAGGTTATGTATACAAGAATATAGATTAATGTTGGATAGAACAGGCAGTTAACTGAGCAGTTCTTACTCGATCCTCATATTTCTGCCAATGGACCAATACTAAAATGTTGAATACAAATAGTTTTTGTTGTAGGTTATGATTGTTAAAAAGGAAAGAATACTGAGGTCCCTTCCAGACAGGTCTTATATCCCAGGATCTGATCCCAGGTTTTCTGTTTATCCCAGAATATATAGTAGTGCAGACTTGTATAATCCAGTTTAAAGCAGAAAACTTGGTATCAGATCCTGGGATATAAGGCCTGTTTGGAAGGGCTGTGAGGTTCTCTTTTCTACTTCCTCATCCCATTTTTTTTTATTAAAGCGATCTTTGCCAACTTGGTCCCAACAACTGAGGTCTCGTGCAATTGGAAAGCACTGAGTTTGGAAGGTACCTGTGATGCGAATCATGCAAAAAGTAGCATGAAATCATTTTTGCAGGTCTGACAGCTGTTTATTTAAACATTTTATATTCAGTAGTGATCATGCTTTAGAAGACTTAAAACTTCCTTCATCCCATCCAAGTTCTTTGTCAAGTAACATCAATTCACAGAAGTAGGCTAAGATTTAAAACTTTGAGGAATTTTGACTTGGCACTTCAGTCTTCCATCCTCTATTGTATTTATCGTAATGTTGGCAAACATTGTTAACATGAAGTAAAAAAGAAAGTAGCTTTTAAAATGTGTGTTCCATTATAGGTTTTGCATATAAATAACACACTGGAGCAAGGTTCCCTAAAGAAAATTGTGTCGGATTTCAACTCCCATCTTCTCCAGCCAAGCATGCCTAACGTGCAAAATGTGCTTTTGATGTTAATATGCCCTCAGTGTATAGTGAAATAGTCTTTGTGTGCATGAGTGTTTTTATTGTGTTATCTAGCTTGTGCATATTTATGTTTCAGCAAGAAGTGTTGACAGGAATTGGCAATGGTAATTTAACAGATTATCAGAAGAAGCCAGTGCTATATTTAGAATGCTATTGCAGTACTTAGGGACTTTTCTTCTGTGTTTTGAGAGGTTATGCCTGACTCTACGGATTGCAGAAACTTTTTACTCTATGCTTTTTTTCAAGAATAAAGGTCCAAATTTTTTAACCCAGTGGTTCTCAACCTGTGGGTCTCCAGATGTTTTGGCCTTCAACTCCCAGAAATCCTAACAATTGGTGAACTGACTTGGATTTCTGGGAGTTGTAGACCAAAACACCTGGGGACCCACAGATTGAGAGTCACTGTTTTAACCTCTCCATTTCCCTCCCGCTTTTTATTCAAAAGTTTACTAGAAATAGAAAAAGAACAAACCATATGCACCGGCATTCGAATAACTCCACATACGCCAGAGAACAGGAAGTTAGAAAGATTTCAGAGATGACATCCTGAATCTTTGGAGCTCGCATTTAGGTTGACTCACCAAGTTGTCATTGGTTCAATGAGTCCATTGCATCTGAAGGGAAAGCATAGGAATCAGAATAATACGATGATGTAGTTTCAACAGCACCGATTAAGAAAATTATATTTGGCCTTGAACCTGAACATTTGGAAGCATGTTGCCTCAGAGTTTAATAAGGTTTATTTCTAACTAGTTTAGAACTGCATCACCTCTCCTCCTTGTTAATTACTTTTGGATTGTACTTTCATTCTCAAACACCCATTGTGCATGCAGAAGCTCTAGCTGTGGACCTTTTAACTTCCACCTTGATGCACTTGGACAATTTTCTGGTTCACTATTGTTGAGCCCTGTCAGTAATTCTTTAAGGTTATATTGTAATTTGTGGGCACTTGTTTTTTGTATACATATGTATAGCAGGGATGGAGAAAGTGCAGGTTGTGAGATGCATGTAACCCCAGCCCTGCTTTGTCAGTCCTAAGGGCCATCCAAAGTTTTTTTTTTGGAACAATGATAAAAATGCTCCCAAAGGACTAAATGATGCTCCTCTAGGCTCTGAAGTCAGTGGCTTTGTAGACCCCTCCCTCAACACAAGAAATTGGACCTGGAAAAAAATTCTAGATTTTTTAAGGGCGGAAAATATATCATACATCACAATTGTTGACCCCATTTTATTTATTTATTTATTTACAGTTCTTATATTCCGCCCTTCTCACCCCGCAGGGGACTCAGGGCGGATTACAGTAAACACATATATGGCAAACATTCAATGCCAGTTTGACAAACAACATTTAACAGACAAAGGCTATTTAACTTTTTTTTTTTCTGGCCGCCAGGGGAGCTGCTGCTTTTCATCGTCCATCAACGACACCGATGAAGTTCTTCCGCATTCCACATTCCCCGGAGTCTTCTTTCTTTATGGCCTCATAAATTAGTTAAATTTAGCCTCCCACACAAGGTGGTACCTTATTTACCTACTTGACAGATGCAACTGTCTTTCGGGTTGCAAAGGTCGACAACGGGCTACACAATGGCTGGACACCCACTCCAGCCCGGGCTGGCTTCGAACTCATGACCTTTTGGTCAGAGTGATCTTAATGCAGCTGACACTCAGCCAGCTGCGCCAAATCCAGCTGCGCCACAATTTTCTGATGTCTAGATGCTCTCAAGGTCTTTGGGAGTACTTTGAGAAATAAACTTTGGTGGTAAGATCATACTGGTATTCCAACATCTATTTAACCACTCAAGAAGTAACAATCTTGATTAATGGGACAGATTCTGTAACAACAACAACAACAACAACTTTATTTTTGTATCCTGCCACCATCTCCCTGAAGGGACTTATGATAGCTTACATGGGGATTAAGCCCAGTCAGACAACAATTAAAATATAACACAGTAAAGTTCAAATACAAAACATCAAAAAACATAACGATCAACAATCAAACCATCCAAACAACCAATAGCCTAACCTAGAGGCCAATTAAACTCCTGAGGGGCTGTCCACTATCACCTCTCTTGTTTGCTTTATCGATTGAACCTCTGGCTAACTTAATTTGTTCTAACCCAGTTATGTCAAGCTTGCAAGCTATTTAATGTCCACCACCATAAATTAGCTCTATATGCTGATAACATTTTGAGTCTTCATAAAAATCATAAAATTTTCTGCCCATATTTGAAACAGATCCATATTTACAACTTGGATGTCAAAATTAATTTCCAGAGGTCCACATTTCTGTGCTTAAAATGTCTACCACCATAATGAAAATTCTGACAATTCCTCACTAATTTGCAACTTCAACCCTTGGGGTTTCTATATCTTGATATGGCAATTTCCAGTGCTTATCACAATTGACTCCATGAAACTATAATCTTGTGACTAAGATCACATCTGCCCTGACCACTTAATGCAGCTTCAAGCTGACTTGAAACTGTGATGGCTACAAAATGCATGCTGCCAAAATGTGTTGCAATGTGAATCAAGGCCTTTCAATCACATTAACTACAGTTGCATGTAAGTTTGAGTCAATATATTAACCTAATTAACAATAGTCAGTTAAAATACAAAAGATTAATTTGCTTTTTTTCCTTGCAGTTGTTTGAGCAGACATAGATAAATGTTGGAAATCAGCAGCCTCAATCTACATAATTGGTGGATAAAAGTATTGCATACCTGGCTATTAGAAAAACCCAGTTATTAGAAAAGCCTAAAATAGATACAACAAAGACAACACATTTTGATGGTTGGTCATTTTATTGATTATATCAATAAAAACCCACAACAACTCCAACCACCAAATGGTCAGCTGGACTTTTGGAAGGTCATATTTCATCTTGATGTGTGCTCAATTAATTTTGCAAACAGCTCACAGGAATGAAGCATGAACTAAATTTTTCAATTTCTCTACCTACATCCTATGCCTTTGTTTATTTGTCTTCCATAATGTATTTGTTCTTATTCCTTGATAGGAACATTTCTTTTCATGTTTTGTTTAATAAGACTAAAAATGCAACAGTGTGGCTCACCGTAGGGATGAAAAATGGCCCCCTCTAGAGTGGCACATTTCTATGTATCAAGCTGTTTGATGTGCTTATGGTATATAGCTGTGTATAACTCTAGAAGTTTAAGTCAAAAAGTCAACCAAAAATGGGTTGGCTTGTCAATGTAAGTAGTGTACTCAATCAAAAAGGAGCCAACCATTATTCTGATTAGAGTAGTAAAAGGAAAAAGGTTAGTCCATCCCAGAAATGGTGGCGGCCGGGGTGGCCAGCCCCATGAGATGTCTCTGGCGCGTTCCCTTTACGTGGAGTGATTTTGACCCCCAGACCTGCCCTCGGCTTGTACATGAGGTCAACTTATATATGGAAATTATAAATGAAACTATTTTTGTGAATGTAATTCTTCATGTCTTGCAGTGTTCAAGATATGCTGACTGGTCAGAGACTCTGTCAGTCCAGCTCTCATAATGATGCTGTTTTGGCTGCTCTGAACCAGCAAAGAAGCGATGGCATACTCTGTGATATTACCCTCATTGCAGAAGAGCAGAAATTCCATGCTCACAAGGCAGTCCTAGCAGCATGCAGTGACTACTTCAGGGTAAGTTCATGCAGTAACATGTTGGTGTAAAAAATCACATGCCATTTAAATTTTTAGATCAGATTACTATAACTATTGACGTTCTGTCACTATAAACAATGGTCATAATCCAGCTATATATTTCAGTGATAAAATATTACTGGGCTGGAAGTTTAGCACAGCTTGTAAATCATCAGCAATTATAAGATCTATTAACCGAAAGGTTGCAAGTTCGAAGCCCCGGAAGCCCCGGGTTAGCGTGAGCTGCCAACTGTCAGCCTAGCTCATTGTTTACCTAAGCAATTTGAAAACAGCTTTAGCTGTGATTAGAGGAATTAGGTACCGCTAAAAGCGGGGGAGGTGTTTTACAATGTCATAAAGAAAGAAGATCAGAAAATGCTGGGCGACCAAAAGGAAGGAGGAAGTCCTGATGGCTCTTCGTCATAAGAGGATAGAGCAACAGCACCCCCTGGACTCGAGCCTAACCTTCCCTGGCACCTCCTTCTGTTCTGTCTGCTGTCTATACAAACGGCATTGAATGTTTGCCATGTATATGTACTGTGATCCACCCTGAATCCCCTTCAGGGTGAGAAAGGCGGAATATAAATAAAGTGTTGTTATTATTGTTATTATTATTATTACTGTTCAGCTATTTGAAATCTGTCTGTCTGTCTGTCTGTCGTCTGTCTGTCTGTCTGTCTATCTATCTATCTATCTATGACCTACTATGGAATAACAAGATTAGACACAGCCGGTAGACTGTTAGGAACTGTGAGAGTTGGAGTCCAAAACACCTGGAGGGAGGGCCCAAGCTTGCCCAAGCCTGGTGTAGGTAGATGCAGCAGCTCTGCAGAGTGGGTTGGCGCTTAGATTTCTGCACTGTTTCTTTTTCTCCTCCTTTGCTTTGACTGTGCATGCAGTAGGTAATGAATTGCAAACAAGGCTGCACCTAAGTAAAAGTAAAAGTTTTCCCCTGACATTAAGTACAGTCGTGTCCGACTCTGAGGTGTGGTGTTCATCTCCATTTCTAAGCCGAAGAACCAGTGTTGTCCGTAGACACCTCCAAGGTCATGTGGCCAGCATGACTGCATGGAGCACCGTTACCTTCCTGCCGGAGCAGTGCCTATTGATCTACTCACATTTGCATGTTTTCGAAATCCTAGGTTTGCAGAAGCTGGGGCTGACAGCGGAAGCTTACGCCACCCCCTGGATTCGAACCTGTGACCTTTCAGTCAACAAGTTTAGCAGCTCAGTGGTTTAACCCACTGTGCCACCAGGGGCTGCACCTACACTGCATAATTAATTCAGTTTAACCCCTCCACCTGAACTGCCAAGGCTGAATTCAGTGGAATCAACTGAGCTGCAGTTTTTCAAGATCTTCGGCCATAATTGTGTCCAATTCTGGGCACTTCAATTGAAGAGAGATATTGACCAGCTGGAATGTGTCCAGAGGAAGGCGACTAAAATGATCCAGGGTCTGGATAACAAGCCCTATGAGGAGCAGCTTAAAGAGCTGGTCATGTTTAGTCTGAAGAAGTGAAGGCTGAGAGGAGACATGATAACTATGTATAAATACATGAGAGGAAGTCATAGAGAGGAGGGAGCAAGCTTGTTTTCTGCTGCCCTGGAGACTGGGACACATGGCTACAAGTACAAGAAAGGAGATTCCCTCTGGACATTAGGAAGAACTTCCTGACTGTGAGAGCCATTCAGCAGTGGAACTCTCTGCCCTGGACTGTGGGTGGAGGCTCCTTCTTTGGAAGCTTTTAAACAGAGGCTGGATGGCCATCTATTGGAGGTGCTTTGAATGCAATTTTGGCAGGGGATTGGACTGGATGGCCCACGAGGTCTCTTCTAACTCTATGATTCTATGATTCTATGAGTGGGGTGAGCTCCAGTTGTTAGCCCCAGCTTCTGCCAACCCAACAATTCAAAAACATGCAATTGTGAGTAGATTGGTACTGCTCTAGTGGGAAGGTAATGGCACTCCATGCAGTCATGCCGGCTACATGACCTTGGAGGCATCTATGGACAACATCAGCTCGTCAGCTTAGAAATGGAGATGAGCACAACCCCCAGAGTCAGATGCAATTAGACTTAATGTCAAAGGGATACCTTTACCATTACCTTTTTAGTGTTGGTTGAATTGGAAGTGCTGAATGAGATGTTGTCAATTTGTCACTAGTTTCACTGCTTATAATTTTTGGTTCTAGGCTTAATTCAAAGATCTGATTTTGGGTTTTAAAGCTCTATATATCCAAGATCGGAACACCTCAAGATTGATAACATAAGAATCATTAGACTTTCCCTGAAAATATCATTTTAATTCTGAAGTCATCCCTTTGAGTTGTTACCATATATATTCATGTATAGGTTGGCCTCATATAAAAAGTCAAGGGCAGGTTTTGTGCCTAAATTATGAATTTTTATAGGATTCCTGGTAAGTCAAGGGTCATTGTGCAGAGATGGGAAAGCACCTAGGGCAGGCATTTCCAAAGTCCAGCCTGGGGAACAATTGCGACCCCTATTCACATTTCCACGGGCCCACAGCCTCTATCATAAAATCAATAGCATTTGGCCCGCCAGCACTGTTAACCTCAGTATAAAATACATGTGTACAAAAAAGCTATTTTATATTTCACCAGAAGACTGCTGTTACTTTTAGTTGGGCAATGAAGAGAACTTTGTTCTACTGGGTACTTTCAGAATTGTGTTATTAACTAGAGACAATTACATCTACCGTTCTGAAGGTTTGTTGCTCCATTTCAGTATGGTGTTGCTTATATAGTTTGTGTTTTGATTTTTTTCTGATCTCACATTTGAATATGTCTATTAAAAGCCTGTGTGAAAATTAATCCTGAGAATTGATAGTATCTTGGGCTGAATGTGAAGCCAATGAGTTGTGATCTTGCAAGCATCTGCGGCAGGCCAGAGCATTCAAATGACTAGTTGTTGTGCTGGTAGGGAATCACCATATGTTGCCTTCATCGGATCAGTCGGCGTTTTAATTGTTTGCCTGAACACAGTCTATGCCTCAGTGGTGATCTCTCACTTAACCAGCAGTGGCGTGGGAGTAGTTCCCTTGGGGCTTCTTCACAAGCTGTTCCAGAACTGTGAGTGTAAAGGAAACCCTGTGGGCGTGGATGAAGATTTCCCCAAATGTTGCCTAGCCAAGAAAAAACAGCAAGGTTTCCATATGAAGAAATCATATAAACAACCAGCCCACATGTTAGCTTCGGAAATACGTTGGGAAAAGAAATGAACCAGTAAATGAGTTGACCTATCAGTATTGAAGTGAAGTATCTTACATGGGACGTAACTTCTACTGGTCCCTATTCACTGCATTGCAAAAAGCAAATTTTGAAAACACTGAGTTGTTTTTGAGGACTTAATATCTTTTAGATGTAATTGGGGGTTTTGGTACATTAAGGCTGTTCCAACGTGCCTTTTCAGATTAGGAACCCCACTACCAAATCCCAGAAGCACTTTAGTAGAACCAAGATCACCTCTCACTGCACACTTCACTTATATTTTAATCCCATATCCCTCCGACACATCAGCACTTTTAATCCTGTACCCCTACTCCGGCCGGCTCAGTTTTAATAATGTCTTGTTGTATTGCTATTGTTTTATTGTTTTCTGCTTAACTGTTTTATTTGCTATGTATTGTATTGTTGTATTGTGTTGGGCTCCGGCCTGTTGTAAGCTGCATCGAATCCCTTGGGAGATGCTAGCGGGGTACAAATAAAGTTATAATAATAATAATAATAATAATAATAAACAGATTGCTTCTGATTTTTGAGAAAGTACACAAAGGATAATAACGAATAGGCACACATGTTAGTGCAACTACCAATTGCTTTCTTAATTATTTCATTTGGGAGAGGCACAATTGTAGAAATTGTGTATTATTTTGGCTCATCTACAACTAGGCTGTTCTTCTTTGGAGTTGCCTACCTCCGATACTATTCAGAACCAACTGTCTTATATTATTTTTTCCATAATAACTCGCACTCTGTTATTCATCCTGGTAAACATTAGAAAAATATTACTTCAAATCTAAGTGTTCTGATGGTCACATGGTTATAGCAACTCTTTCATTTTTCTGCCACATTATTATCATTTTGGCCACATTTCAACCCCCACTTTACTAATTCTGCCTATATATTGTGTAGTTACTCAGCTCTTCAAAATCTAAAGTTTTGTGGATAGAATAATGCAACCAAGGTGAGCATCAATGTCTTCTCTAAGCTTTCCTTCTTCTCATGATGTAGCCAAAGTACTTCATTTTTGCCTCTACTGTCCTTCCCTTCATTGAGCAGTTGGGTTTTATTTCCTGAAGTATGGGCTGGTTGGATCTTCTGCCGGTCCAAGGCACTCTCAGAACTTTCCTCCAACACCACGGTTCAAAAGCATCTATCTTCCTTCACTCAGCCTTCCCTATGGTCCAGCTCTCACATCCGTAGGTGGCTATGGGGAATACCATTGCTTTAACAATTTGGATCTTCGTTGCCAGTTTGTTGTAGAAACATATAAAAAGTATAGGAAAAAAGTAGGAATAAAGAAAGTAAATGTATAATGTATAATCCAAAAGCTTTAGCAATAGATGATAATCCAAACAGTAATACAAATGTCTCATTCAGATCTCAAGGTAACAGTCCAGAAATAGCCAAAAAGTCACAATCATAGCACAAGTCCACAAGCAAGAGGTATACTTAGTAAAACATGAGCAGGAATATAAAAACAAGAACACAGAATATTTCCAAGAAACTAAAATCCAAAACTTGAAACAAGAACCAAAGAAGTTAGGCCTAGCTTCTGACTTGAATGCTATGTTTCCTGAACTAACTCCCAGGTAAACACCTTGTTAATTAATAGGTACCCATGAAGTAATTTTCCTGCCACATAATCTCTCCTCAACTTTCCCACATAAGCACTCGAACCTGTGATGCCTATTTTCTGCTCTGATATGTAAATGGAGACCTTTGTTGGTCTCCATAACTCCAGGTGTTTTCTCCTGAGACCTTTCTGTATCACTTATCTCTTCAGACAAATCTTTATCTAATATTGCAGTTTCTGGCACCTCTGATTTTCCAAGTCAGATTTCTCACAGAAGGAAGCATCATTTCCCTGACTTGAATCTTCATCACTTTGAGCCCCAGGAAATCCCACAGGCAACCTCACAATCCACTCAGTGAACCCATCAGCCTCAGAATCTCAGGCTGATCTCCCAACAGGTTAAGTGCTGAAATTTAGTAACTCAATTTACTCATTTTAGAAATTTGCTCACTATGTACACTATAGTTTATAGGAGAAAGGATGATATTAACTGTATTTAATAGAATAGTCAGTATTGCTGTCAATATCATATTAAAATCAATTTAACTGCATTCAAGGTCCATATGACATTTTATCATAATCAAATGCCAGGAAGGTGATTATATTAATTAATGAGGAGAAATTTAGAGACCTTAATCATATTTAATGAACAAATATGTAAATTCAGCTAATTTACAGTATGTCAGAGAGAGAAAATGCATGTGAGAGAAAATACATTTAATGTATTTTAACTTTAAAAAAATGACATACTCAAACTTGGAAAAGGTTACAGCTTGCATTTTGGTCAACCTGAACAGACCTCCCCCTCCAATTGTGGCAACTCCTGGCGGGGAAAGTTGTCCAATTCCTACAAAAATGTAAGAAAAGAGACAAGACATCTTTCCATGTCATTTTCAGGATGAGTTCTAATGTTGGAATCAGATAGCAATCCAGATGGCTACTCCTTTCATAAGAGTATGGATCTGACTGTAGATGCTAAATGAACCAGTTCATCTTACTGGTTTACTAATCCAAATAATTTTTTAAAATATATTTTATTCCAGTAACGAAATACTATTGGAATATGTTTTCATTCTTCTGTGAATAGCCATTGTTTACTTACTTCGTAGTTTATTGATTATCTTTGTCAGAAAAGTGCCAGATCTGTCAGATCAATTGGTGGAAGATGGGAAAATGTGAGATGGATTCTGTCCGACCCCCTCTCTTTCTCCCTCATTTCTATAAGGAATATTTTGCAAACTCTGCATGTTTGATTTATATCCTGCATTTATCAATAGGAATGATATCAGTACTATCATATCTGTTTGCTATTCTTAGTAAAAAAAAAAAAGTGATTAAGCACAAGTATGCTAAATCTAATTTCTTACAGCCCAAAAGCTCACTTTCAATGGGCATGGAGGAATATCCAGTGGTTAGAATTATATGGTCATGTCAAAAGAAATTATAATGGTATCTTCAGTGCATAATGATATTGAAAAGTATGTTGATCTTCATGTTAACTCTAGCATGGTTAATCAGGCGCATTTCTGTGTGTTTATATAATTCAGAAAACTGTCAGGCTGCCATTAACAGTTGCGTCCTCAGTAACAGATAAGGGATAAAAGGAGGTCACTGAGCAGATATCGTATTCAGGGTTGTGAAGTTTAAAATTGTTTTTGCTGCATGCATAATGGGTGTTAGCAAACCTCTTTATGATTGTGGTTTCCATAACATCGCCTTGGGTAAATTGGTGGATTGTAGGTCATTCAGCTTTTGCAGCTTTGAAAGCACAGTCTGTTTTTTTAAAACAATGACCCAGTATTACATAGCCCAAATTGAAAAATCACAGTACTTTGATTCAGACTCTAAAAGGCACAGATTTTAATCAGTGATTACTGTTGCATTACAACTGCCAACTGAATTCACAGAATAGTGATAATTGTTAGGGGTTTTTATAAAAAGAAATTTGTGATGCTTTTGGCAGGCCCTGTAACCCATTAAGTTTCAGATGGAGACACTGATGAAAAGAGCCAGTGAACCAACAGTAGGACTATAGAACCAGTAAAACCGACTCCTGGAATAGATACCATGCAGCTTGATAACTACATTAGATTGCATTCAGATGGGTTGTTCTATGAATAAAAGAGCTTCTTCCCTTTATAGGCTCAAAGGACACTGTGTTCCATGTTGGATTGAGCCAAGGTTGTCTAAAATACCACATTCTGCTATATGAACTTATCTCAGTTTTGAGATCTTCAGGGAAGGCCCGCTACCCTCGGGGGTACATCTGGTGTCCATATATGAGAAGGGTTCTCAATATTTCCTTCCAGGTTCTAGGTCTCATTTTCTAGAGATGCTAGACGGGCTGTTCTGTGGGACTTGCCCAGAATCAGGTGAAGGTAATTTTAGTTTGGCAAGGCTTTGGGAAGTGAACGCTTATGTAGGCTGAGCTTTTAATGTACTGTTTTGTATTTGTAAAATATATAGTCTGTAAATATTGTTTTTTAAATTGATGTTCTTAAATTGCTTTTAACTCTGATAGTTTTAAGTGAATTTTAACTTCTGCATATTTTATTGATATGAGTTTTTATCAGTATGTTTTGAAATCTGTATGCCACCTTGAGTCCCAGAACTGGGGAAAAACAGGATATAAAGCCTTAAGCCCTACAAAAAGAGAAAGGCACAATATAAATCAAATAAATAAAATTAATTTGTTCATCAATATACCCACAATTTCTCACTAACTAGCCTGTTTTAATTTGATTAAATCAAGGGGTAATAATGTTTGAAAGGCATATGGTCTTCCAAACATTTTATATAGACAAGTTGAATATCAATTATCTGAAATGCTTAGGACCAGAATTGCTCCATATTTTGAATGGCAGGGGATATCCATATAGACACAAAGAAATATCTTGGAGATGAGACCCAAATTTTATTGATATTTCATATACACCTTATATACATATCATGAAGGTAATTATATAAGCAATACTTTAAATAATTTTGCATGAGATGATGTACGGTACTTTTGAACCATCAGAAAGCAAAGCTGTCACTATCTCAGCCATCCAGGTTGACAGCTGGATTTCATAATTCAGAATGCTCAGTTGGTACTATGATTAATTTTTATGGCAGCTCTGTCAGATAGGCTAGTTCGCAAAAGACTATGCAGGGTCATAGCTTATGGCAAGTACTTTTCATCTTGAGAAATGCTATGGGTTGACATTCTCAAAATTTCGTAATTGTATATACTTCAGAATCTAATATGAAACAAAATGGTTTTTCAAGAATTATGTTAATTGATAACTACTTTGATTTGGTTCTAGATAGATCACTCCATGAATGACAGGGCTACTTCCACTTATGGAAGACACTGGAAACCCACCAAGGCTTCTCACTAGAGATGAGAAGGTGACCTTCACTGAATTTCTCCTCCTTTTGTGCGGTGTTCAGAGCCCTTTCTTCCAGTCTGAACAGAACCAGATCAACTACACCCCAGAGTATTGAAGGAACTAGCAGAAGTCATTTCGGAACCATTGGCAACCATCTTTGAGAGTTCTTGGAGAACGGGAGAAGTTCCAGCAGATTGGAGGAGGGCCAATGTGGTCCCAATCTTCAAGAAGGGAAAAAAGGATGACCCAAACAACTAACGTCCGGTCAGCCTCACGTCGATACCGGGCAAGATTCTGGAAAAGATTGTTAAGGAAGCGGTCTGCAAACACTTAGAAACAAATGCAGTCATCGCTAATAGTCAACATGGATTTATCAAAAACAAGTCATGCCAGACTAATCTGATCTCTTTCTTCGATAGAGCTACATGCTGGGTAGATGCGGGGAATGCCGTGGATGTAGCGTACCTGGATTTCAGTAAGGCCTTCGACAAGGTCCCCCATGACCTTCTGGCAAGGAAACTAGTCCAATGTGGGCTAGGCAAAACTACGGTGAGGTGGATCTGTAATTGGTTAAGTGGACGAACACAGAGAGTGCTCACTAATGCTTCATCTTGGAAAGAAGTGACAAGTGGAGTGCCGCAGGGTTCCGTCCTGGGCCCGGTCCTGTTCAACATCTTTATTAATGACTTAGATGAAGGGCTAGAAGGCATGATCATCAAGTTTTCAGATGACACCAAATTGGGAGGGATAGCCAATACTCCAGAGGACAGGAGCAGAATTCAAAACGATCTTGACAGATTAGAGAGATGGGCCAAAACTAACAAAATGAAGTTCAACAGTGACAAATGCAAGATACTCCACTTTGGCATAAAAAATGAAATGCAAAGATACAGAATGGGTGACGCCTGGCTCGAGAGCAGTACGTGTGAAAAAGATCTTGGAGTCCTCGTGGACAACAAGTTAAACATGAGCCAACAATGTGATGTGGCGGCAAAAAAAGCCAATGGGATTTTGGTCTGCATCAATAGGAGCATAGTGTCTAGATCTAGGGAAGTCATGCTACCCCTCTATTCCGCTTTGGTTAGACCACACCTGGAATATTGTGTCCAATTCTGGGCACCACAATTCAAGAGAGATATTGACAAGCTGGAATGTGTCCAGAGGAGGGCGACTAAAATGATCAAGGGTCTGGAGAACAAGTCCTATGAGGAGCGGCTTAAGGAGCTGGGCATGTTTAGCCTGAAGAAGAGAAAGCTGAGAGGATATGATAGCCATGTATAAATATGTGAGAGGAAGCCACAGGGAGGAGGGAGCAAGCTTGTTTTCTGCTTCCCTGGAGACTAGGACGCGGAACAATGGCTTCAAACTAGAAGAGAGGAGATTCCATCTGAACATGAGGAAGAACTTCCTGACTGTGAGAGCCGTTCAGCAGTGGAACTCTCTGCCCCGGAGTGTGGTGGAGGCTCCTTCTTTGGAAGCTTTTAATCAGAGGCTGGATGGCCATCTGTCAGGGGTGATTTGAATGCAATATTCCTGCTTCTTGGCAGGGGTTGGACTGGATGGCCCATGAGGTCTCTTCCAACTCTTTGATTCTATGATTCTATGATTCTATGATTCTAACTGAATGCAAGCTATTATTAACTGAAGAATAGAAAAGAAGTAATAACAGCCCATGATGTTCAATATAGCAACTTAATGTATATAATAATTTTAAGAAAAGTAAATGTTTTCATTTCTTTTCTTCTTTTTAGGCAATGTTCAGCCTTTGCATGGTTGAAAGTGGCGCAGATGAGGTGAATTTACATGGCATCACAAGCATAGGTTTAAAGCAAGCTCTGGATTTTGCGTATACTGGACAGGTATGTTGCTAAAATGACCTACAGAAATACATATACTGTGGTGAAGATGCTTTAAGGCAAATTTACAAAAAATTATTGAGAGTGCTGAACATGGGTTGGGAAGATCTCCCAAATGATGAAATGGCCTTGTGACTACCATAGCACCTTCAGGGTATATTCAACTTATTTTGACATCCGCCTCATCACAGTAGAGTATGGATCCACTTTATATTTGGTTTCTTCCTCCTGAAGAATTCTGGGATTTGTAGTTTAGTGAGGCCCATGTCTGTCTGAGATCCATTGTTACAAATAAGAATACCAGCAGATTGTTTTCTCTCAATAAGAAGTCAGTTTATTTCTGCCTAGAAGAAGAATGTAACAATTAAATGTATTGATAGTGGAATTTATCAAACAAAGTAAGACCTTTAGTTTAACTCACCACACCAAGGAAGGTTGAGATGTTTTAATTTCTTGTTTGTAATGTATATGATATTTTGTATGTATGTTTTATGGCATCAGATTGCTTCCTATCTGTGAGACTACTCTGAGTCTCCTTCGGGGTGAGAAGAGTGGTATACAAATGTAGTAAATGTAGGCTTTGTCTCTTATTGGGATTTTATATATAAGATTGTGGGGCCTTTGGGATGTTTTAAGTTGAGTCTTATGTTTCACATCATCCCTCTTGAGAGGGGCAAGAAGGAAATGCGCAACTGATATTAACCCAGAAGAAATCTATTGATCGTGGGAGTCAGCAGAGTCTCAATTGATTTTGTATAAACATTCTCTAAGGTCAGTGAGAGATCGAGGTTGCTGAACAGCCTTCCCTATGCTTTCTTTGAATAACATCTGCCAGTTCCACATTTTCCTCTGTTCTGCAAGTTCCCTGGTTGACTGCTCTGGAGTCTGACTGCCAGTCTGTCTGGCCTATATTGCTGGTCCCTGACAGATAGAGTGTCTTTGGTTTCCCAGTCCCAGGACACCTCCCTCAAAGACTATGGAGTGAAATTTGGCACTTGTTCAGGACACAGTTTTATGTTTCAAATCCAAATATCAACTGTCACTGTTAAGACGTCAGGGGAAAAGGCCAATTGTACTATAGAAAGAAGCTGTTTCCTTTTGAGATGTGTTTGCAGAATCAGTACACAAATGTCCATTCCAATTTCATGCCAAGCTCAAGGTCCACACTCATTTTCACGAAAGATGTAAAAATATGTTGGCTACAGTCTAAAAAGCTGGGCAGCTATCTCTATTCCTCCATGAAAGGATTCAAAGATTGCACATACTATTATGGAGTGCTTTAAATTTGCAATGGATTTTAAGAAGCATCTGAGATGGTGCAGAACTGGCAGAGAGAGCCCAAGTGGTCATGCCTTACATCCTTTTTTAGCATGACATTTCTTTTGATTAATTCAGGCCCCATCCACACAGTACATTAATCATGAGAGTTTCCATTTCAAAATGGGGAGTGGCTAGATGACGTCACTGGAAAACTTGCAATGATTTGCTACAAATGAGGGAAACCTTTTTATCCCATTTCTGGCTGAAAGATGTGGATCTTCGCATGTCTGAGTGACCTTGCATGCCAGAAAACACATGTTTTCCTTCTCTCCCCCCTGTGGATACTGCTCCAAATGATGTCTGTCCCTTTTAAAAAGCCCGAAACAAATGATCTGCTGATTGGGCTGTCCAACAGACACACAGCTGGTTGACAGGAAGCATGAACGAAAAGCTATTAAAATTCTCTAAAACTTTATTTTACACTCTATAATAGTTTCATAATTAATTAGGGAAGGGAGGAATCCGGCGGACGTTTTAAAAAAAAATTCCCTCCATTATGTGCTGAACTGTATATGCACACATGCAAATATGCTTGCATTCTATTAGGATATGCAGATATGTGCATATATGAATCAGCAATAATATAGGTATTTTGGTCTGCATAATTTTTGCCTTCAGTTAATGGCTACATTTTATTGACTATGAAAATTTGGGAGACTGTGAGGGACTCCAGTGTAAAGGAGAAACCATGATTGCACACATTTTGATCCTGCTTTTCTAAAACAACCCTATATGGGTTTTGTTTTGCATTTAGTTTCTGAATAGTTTTTAATGTCAGTAATACTTAACTTAGTGTAAGTGGGTTAAGGTAACGCTTTTCCCTGACATTAAGTCTAGTCATCTCTGACTCTGTGGGGAGGAGGTGCTCATCTCCATTTCTAAGCCGATGAGCCGGCATTGTCCGTAGACACCTCCAAGGTCATGTGGCCGGCATGGCTGCCTGAAGTGCCGTTATCTAATATTCAGAGAGCCAAATTTCTGAGAATTAGACTGATCCTAGCAATCACTGACTCAGAAAACCCATGGTAAGATCATCTTAGGGTTGCCGTTAAGTCAGAAATGACTTGAAGGCACAAAACAACAAAAAGCCCAATTTTCTCCAATGATGTATTGGAAAACTGTATCTCAGTTCTGCCAACTTCATGGATTTGGTTATATGAACACCACACGAAGCCATTACAACCATTAGCCATTTCATTGTTAAAAGCAGTCATTTTTGTTTATTTAGGATAATTCATGTTGACTTCTGTTCCTTTGGAAACTCAACCATTACAGCTGTGTTCAACCTGAGGACACTGTGATATGATTAAAATGCATGCATCCTTTAACATGTGCATTTTGCTTGTAAGCGTGACATTGTGAAACAAGAGGCTAGAAGGCAAATTTGTATTTGCTGGAATGGTGAGACAAGAGCCTGAAAGGTGTTTTTACATTTGCTGGAATGACTTCCCTGAGAGACTGTAGTCATGCCAATGTGAGGAGCAGCTGTCAGAGTGGTGAGAAGCCTTGACACCCATGAGGTTACTCAAAAGCACTGAAGTGTTAATGGTGAGAACTTCAAGGTATTGCGTGGGTGTAATCCAGAAACACTATTAACAAATAATTGGATTTGTACATGTGCCTCCTACACAATGCTCTGAAAAAAAGTCTTAGTCACATTAAGTTTTGGTCCATCCATGCAAAATTACCAAGAAATAGGACATTTTCTTGTGGAATGGAGAATTTGTACTGGCTGCCTCCTGTCAGTAAACTCTAGCTCTCTGTTATATCACCACAGCCCCAACTGAGATAAAATAATAAGAATAATGCATTGTTCAGAACATCAAGTCTGAGGCCCCTGATTCTTTTGTCTCGTAGGCATGTGGGTGGGTGACTATTATTTTATCCAACTTGGAACAGAAAGTGTCTGAAAAAGAATTAATTCAAGATAGAAATTTAAAAACTGGATTCTTTTTGCCTATCCACTCCTAGGCAGTTATGATAATAGTATTAAAGGCCAGAATCCTATTGGGTAATTATTAATGTGAAAGTGAGTTATGCATTTGTGAGTGCTTTGTATTCGCAATCCCTATGTAACCACTAACTTATAGGATAAGTAGGTACGGTGAAAGCCTCCCAGGGCTCTTCTAGACAGGCAAGAAATGCAAAAGAAATTGGGATTTCAAATTATTATTATTATTATTATTATTATTATTATTATTATTATTATTTAAAACATTTATATTCCACCCTTCTCACCCTGAAGGGGACTCAGGGTGGAGCACAGCATATATATGGTAAACAGTCAATGCTGGGACAAGAATTCATTATATGCATACATGAACATTTAAAACATTTCTCTCAGCGTTAAGATACACTGTTTAAAACCATCTCCATTCCTGTAGGGATGGAGGCCACACAGCTGGTCTAAACACTGAGATTTTGTGGGGGAGAGGGGAGTGTCCAGATGTTAATCCCTGCTGATCTGCAGGGATGGGAATTGGCACTGCCAGCCTTCCCTCCCTGCCCTCCATTTCCCTCTGCACTTACTGGGAGAAGACTTCACAAGACCCGAAGACGCCTTCTTAACCTGCTCCTTTGGAAGAGCCAAAGGAGGGCTTTGAGTAAGGAATGGGAGATTTCTCCTCCAAGCCCCCCTATTGGATCTTCCAGGGAGGAAGAAGGGGGCAATGGCTGCCGGCCTGCGTGGAAGATGTCTTCTGATAAGTTGAGAGGAAAATGGGAGGCAAGAGAGAGTCCAGATAGGAGGGGAGGAAAGCACATTTTTTCATGCTTGCAGAGATACACATACATGGAAAAATGCATGTTTCTCAGAAAAAATAAAGTTTAAAGGGCAACTTTTAAACACATATTTTGCAGCCTTTAACCCAATTCCTCCTGCATTTTAGCTAAATGTCATTTACCTGCCCCCCACCTTTTTAACCCGGGTTATAATGCATGTGTGGAAGGGCCCCTAGTTCCCACTTACTGGTCAGTGGCTGCTGCAATAGATAGGGTTCTGTTCCCCTATTATCCTGGAAGTAGCTGACTGATATTCTCACTTGCATTTCCACTTGCAAGTGATCTCTGTTGTAAGGGTGATTGTGGCTGTTACAATAGAGACTGTTCAATTAGAGATGATAGCCACATCCACAGCAACAGGAAAACACACCCTGTCAAAGACCTCACCTCTGAGGATGCTTGCCATAGATGCAGGCGAAACGTCAGGAGAAATGCCTCTAGAACATGGCCAAATAGCCCGAAAAAACCCACAATAACTGAATCTAACAGCTGCTAACTAGTAACTAGTAAAAGGGGATTGGGAGATTAGGCTGTGATTCATTCGCTAGCCATGTAGCTACATCAGTTAAGTAGCAAGAAAGTGCATAGAGGAGTTAAGTAGCAAGAAAGTGCATAGATTCATTTTGAAATAATGAATTCTGGTTCTAAAAAATGGAGTGTCTGACTTCTGCCTTGGAGATCTAAGAATTGTTTGTTCAACTGAGGAAAAATAAGCTTAAAGAAATCATAGTCTATTTTCCTTGGAGTAAGTGCCACTTAACTAAAATTAAGACTTTCTTGGAATTACTTTTGAGTGGATTTTTTAAAATTAGAGATGTAATAGGATATGAATATCAATAAAGGAGAAGTCATTGAAGAGAGCATTTCTGCTGCTCAGAAAGACTCCAGACATCACTGCTAGCAATGTGCCATCTCAACTTCTTAAAATCCCTTCCATTTCCAAAGCATTCCACTATAGCTTACAAATTCTTCAGACCTCTATTGGATATGAAGGTCCATGAGAAGTGGACCTGCCTTTCAGGCCTAAAAGGAAGAGCCTTGGTTGCTTGAGGCTTTTGGTCTACCACAAAGCATACCTCCCTCCCTCCACTCAATCTCTGGGCCGTTCCAGAAAGAGCCAAATCTTGTAAGGAACTCAGGTGTTTAATCCCAGTTTCTCCCAAGATTCATGTCTAACACCAACCCAAAACCCCGTGCTTTTGCTGAGGTGATGGCTACATGCCCTTCTGGGTCAACCAGGAGCTTTCGCCGATGATCCTGAGCATGCAGCCAGGCACCTCAGTTAAATTTTGGGGAAAGTGGGAAGCTGGGTGAAGAGGGTGGGGATGCCATTCTGCTCCTTTGGGCTCCTAGAGCCTGAAGAACCAGGATGGCAATGGATATTGATCCCTGGGATTGCAGAATGCCCACAGAACCAGACCTGGAAAGATCTGGACCATTCAGTAAGACGTGGATCTTTCCAGGGATTAAATTAATCCATTCCAAATACTTACTTTTTTCATTGCCAGTATTGTTTTCTTCTTCACCTAATGTAGCAGATTTTCTGCTCCAAAAAGTTCGGTATCTCCCTTCCCCATTTGCTTTCCTTCTGCAGGTTGGAGACAGAGTATGTGGCTATCTCCTGGGCCAGTTTGGAGCACTGCAAGGGATAATGAGCTGCCAGTTTTTCCTCTGTTTCCTCATCTTTGTCCTCATCATATTCCAGTTACTTATCCCATTGTCCTCATGTTATTCCAATCGCTGCAAATTAAGTTCAAACTGTATATTAACTTTGTGAGAAGGGAGGAGAGAAAGTGACAGAATCAGGTATACTCAGGCAAAATAAACTACTGCAGCCTCTTCTAGCTTGCATGTTCTACCTTGCCTTTGCCCTGATGTTGTTTGGCCAGAAATAGTTCCCAATTTTCATCTGTTAAAAGTTATAGGATAGGCTTCTGTGTAGGATCTCTAAGCATCGTGCAGCCCATGCTGGTTTGTCTTGCATGGGAAATAGTTGATCAAATAGGCATATTTACTCTTGATATCTGATCCAATACCATACCTGTCACCATAACTGAAATGTATGCTGCTGTTCCTCTCACTATTCCACTTATTTATTCAAACGCTGGGGAAGAGAAACATTTCATTTTGTATAAAATAGGTATCTTGAGACCTCTAGTGAAAACAGTTGGTGTTGCAGGTTTAGATACTAAAGCTGGGATTTTGGAGCTGCTCAGATGAACTTTTTGAAATATTTGTTCAGGAACGGTTTCTCTTTTATTGTAAACTGTTCTTACAAAAATATTCACAATTTAGTACTCTCTGGCTAAAAAGTTAAATCATGAATTTCAATTGTCATTGTGTGTATTACTTTTTCAAAATGCTCCTTTTGTATTTGGTTAGCCACGTTTGTTATTCTGGTATTGGACTGTGTGTGGTTGGCTTCAGGAGATAGTAAGGAAGCTGCCTTATACTGAGCCAAATTATTGGTCCACTTGTTGGCTTCATAGTAACCAACATTAGATATCCCAGTAGTAGATAAGTGCCTTTTCTGGCTTCTTTGCTGGCTGGCATATCTGCCTCAGTCAATGGTAATCATTTTAAAACAGGAATGAGTAACTTCATGGGGTTAGAGAAATGCATTGGACCACTCTCACAAGCTACTGGGGGCTATTTGGAGGCTGTTGCCAAACCACTGAAAAGCTATATACATTTAACAGTGCTCTTTGTGGTAAAAGTGGGCAGTAGATAGTGCATGGCTAATAAAACAAATCTTCCTTTCTGTTCACCTTGGCTGAATTCTGCATTGAGAAGTGTAACTGTGGAAATTTAGTTATGATGTCTGTCCATGTTACTCTCCAGAATAATATCTTCTCCCCAACATATCAATTTCCAAGATGTTGGAGAGGAGAGCAGTGAGTAATGGTTCATCCGGCCCTTACCAATTTGCAGGAAATATTGAGACGAGCAGATGCAGAAATCCCTATGAAATCTTGTCAGGATCCTTTCACAATTGTCTGTCTCAGCGCATCCTGCAACTGGGAGAGGACTGGATAATTCACTGTGCACTGCCCTAATTTTCAAGCCCTTAGAAAAGTCTGTGTTGTGTATTGGGGAGGTAGGGCAGCCGTGAAGCTTCAAAGGTATGATTTGCTTGTTGCAATGACTGTAATCCTGAACTGGAATATTTACATTTTCGGAGGTCGGACTGCCTGTGCTTAGGTGTTTTCTTCCTGCTGCTAGAACTAGAGAACAAGATCAACAGCAATGTGCAAACTATTCTGCTTTAGCTTGATATTTTACAACAAGCACTGGCTGGAGTTGTTGCAGTGTTTTTAGCTAAAAGAAAATGGCTGGATGCATCCCATCTCTTTCTAACCACCTGGAAATGGCTGCATTAGAGGGGAAGGGTGACTGGAAGTTTATAAGGAAGGTTTTAGGAGGTCCTTTTCAAGTATGGAACAGAAATTCTGACCCATGCTATAGCCATAAAGGTGAGTTGTGTGGTCATGAGGCAGATTTAAGACATTGTTACTTATGAACAGGATGCCAGCCATTGTTTAATTCAGAACACAGTGGCCTAGAATCTGCTTTGCTTTCTGCTGATCTGCTCCTAAGCACAATTCAAAGAATCTTATATAACTTGGTATCTGGGGCACCTGATGGATTCTCTTTTCCCAAAAGTATTGACCTTTCCATTTAGTTTATCATTAGAAGTCCCTACCAGACTGCGACCAATGAGACAGCAGCCTTTGTTGTGGGATCCCCAAACTATAATACTCTCCCCATGGAGATTCACTTGGCATGGAACTATAGTGATCTCATTTTGATGCCAGCTGAAAACCCATTTTCCCAATAAGTTAAACATTTTAACATTAATTTGCTTTTCTTTTTAAAAAAATATTTTGTTCAAAACAAGTACTGCCACTGGGCTATGCTTACTTGACCTGTTTGTTGTTGCATCACACAATGCTATGCTATAAAAATGATTGTACCATGTTTCTGGTTAAAGGGAATGGTTTTTAACTGAAGCAGATAGTGAAGTTGCTCTCTGAATAACCATGGTATCATTTGTGCTCACAAATTAAATTATTTCACACCACTAACTCCAGTCTCCTGAAAACACTATTCTCAATAACTATGTTTTTCAGTGGAAAAATATTGATACACTGATGCTGCCTTTCAAAAGCAAGAGTCTTGCTAAAAGGCTATGTAGACTACCTTGTGGATTTTCCAAAGGAGCTGGGATATATCAAAAATTGGAAATGAGCTAATCGTGACACCTCTTGAATGTGCCAGAGCTGGTGTAGTTAATTACCCTTTCTGTGGGTAATTAACTACATGGTGTAGTTAATTACCCTTTCTGTGGGTAATTAACTAAAGATGGGAGGAGAAGGAAGCTTGACAAGTGAACTGAAAGGGAAGTAAAAAGGTATCTTCCCACATGCCCAGAAGAACATAGGAGATGGTGGTTGGTTTGCCTTGGTTTCCCTTTCCCTCATTATGGAGGATTTCTCTGTTCATGGCAAGAAACAGAGTGGGAGGCTACAGCTCCGCATCCTGTACCCATCCAAGGTTAAAAGTTCTTGCTAAGTCTAATGGACCAATGATCTGACCAGTTATAAGTTATCCTATCCTCGGGAAGTCTGACTTGGCCATGGTAGTCCATGCTCTGGTCACATCCCGTATAGATTACTGCAACGCGCTTTACGTGGGGCTGCCCTTGAAGACTGCCCGGAAGCTTCAGATGGTCCAGCGCTCGGCAGCCAGGTTGCTAACAGGAGCGGCACTCAGGGAGCATACCACTCCTCTATTGAGCCAGCTCCACTGGCTGCCAATCTGCTACCGGGCACAATTCAAGGTGCTGGCGTTAGCCTACAAAGCCCTAAATGGTTCCGGCCCCACTTACCTCTCCGAACGCATCTCCACCTATGAACCGACGCGGACACTAAGATCTTCCGGGGAGGCCCTGCTCTCGGTCCCGCCTGCATCACAGGCACGGCTGGCGGGGACAAGAGACAGGGCCTTCTCGGTGGTGGCCCCTCGGCTATGGAATGCCCTACCCATTGACATCAGACAGGCCCCTTCGCTGCTGGCGTTTCGAAAGAAGGTTAAAACCTGGCTCTTTGAGCAAGCGTTTGGCTAATCAGCGCAATCAAATATAGGATGACGGTAAATTGAACATAGGAATGGCACAAGGATTATGAGATTGGATTTTGCTTTGTGATCGAGGCATTATGTATGAATGATTAATTGTGTATTTTGTTATTGTGTATGATGTGTTTTAATTGTTATTGTTGTGTTAATTTACATTGTGTAAACCGCATTGAGTTGCCTAATTAGGTTGAGAAACGCGGTATAGAAATAAAGCAAATAAATAAATAAATATTAGGAACAACTAGTTTTAATGGTTGTCATTATGATTCTCCCTACTTTTTTGAGGAGAACCAGCTATGTCAGTTCTCCTTTTTAATAGTCATTGCACATTTTTGTTTGTAACATTTGTGCATCTGGAGTGTTGCAAAAACTGACAGCTACAAACACATTTTTCATAACACTTTTAAGTACAGATGCTTTACCAACTTTATTGTTTATTATTCTTATTTTCTATCATAGGTTCTTTTGGAGCCAGGAGTAATTCAAGATGTACTTGCTGCTGGGAGCCATCTGCAGCTTCTGGAGATGCTTAGTTTGTGTTCCCACTACCTTATCCAGGTAAGGATAAGAAACTTGATCACTACCTCATTTGAGCAGTCTTAACTTCATGTTTAAATCTCTGTTACATATGGGATCATCTGCTGTTAGGATTAACACTACCAGCTATGATAAGATGTGAATAACCATATAGTTTGACCTTGACTTTTTCTGGTATTTTTAGCTTTCAATCTATGGAATGCATGTGGCTTTTTTGAACTTTAGTTAACCATGTTCTGATAAACATCAGGTTTTGACTAATGTAATATGCTGTTTGAGGGACTATTTTTGAAGACTTCACTTAGAGTGCATCACACTGTAGAATCAATGCAGTTTGATACCACTTTGATTGCCATGGCTCAGTGCTGTGGAATTATGTGCCCCTCTGGATGTTGGACTGCAAGTGCACCTACACTATATTATTAATGCAGTTTGATACAACTTCAAGTGCCATGGGTTAAATTTTAAAATGTCTTTACCCTTTTGTGCCAAAGGGTTCTGGTGCTTTTCCAAACTAATAAATAAATAAATCAGGATTCCACAGCATTGAGCCTTGACAGTTAAAGTGGTATCAAATGATTTGATTTGACAGTGTAGATGCACCTTCTGTGAGAAAGTAGCTGCTGGTTTATTTGCTGGCACTAGTTATAATGGCTATGTTAGCAGAATTTCCTAGCTTTACTCATGTTAGAAACCCTTTACTCTGTACTCAGTTCCTGTTCCCCCATACTCTCCTTATTTATCATGTCAGAAGCAAATTGAGGGTACAGTTATCATGTATTTAAAAACACAAACAAAGTTTAAAAACTTGGCAAAATGTCCTTTGACCAGAAGCTGGCCGCTTGGAGTGCCTCCGGTGTTGCTGCAAGAAGGCCTGCCATCGTGCATGTGGCAGGGTTCAGTCTGCATACTCTCCTAGGTGTCGATCATGTGTCCTCTTGATATCTATCTATCCTAGTGTCCTTTCTGTCCTATAAAACTAAACAGTCTCTCTCTTCCTTCACTGATCCAGGAGATGCTCGCTCTTTTTTACACTCTCATTCATTCTCACTAGTTTTTCTTATTCTCTATCTTGGCACTCATTCAGATTTGCACTCTTTCAGATGGCAACATCTTTTCCCCTCTCTTCCTGTTCCTTACCTGTTTGAAGAATTCAGATGCCTTAAAGATGGAAGTAGAAGTAATGTATAACATGCATGTCCCCTGCCTGCTCTCTGGTCCAAGTAGAAATGCCTGGAGGCCTTTTGGAGACATGAATATGCCAATATTGATTGGAGCTTCCTTTCTGATGGCAAAGATAATCTGTCACCTACTGAGAAACTGTGGTACTGCAGGATGCAGACAGATTTAAATTAACTAAACCAATTAATCGATTTAATGTCCCCAAGGCAAACAAATTCACCCCAAATTTCAGATGTCTTAAAATGAACCCCCCCCCCCCCATCATGTCTTTTTAAATATAATTTATATGGCTGTGGAAACACTCTCTCAGTGTCAGACATTGACACTGGCAACTCCCCTCTGAACAACTTTGCCAAGAAACCCCCTGATAGGCTTGCCTTAGGATCGCCATGCCACTGCACTGGCGTTTAGTCTCTTTCCAAGTTCAGTTCAGTGTCTCCTCTTTGATGTTTCATGTTCTTCAAAGCTTAGGATCCTGATGGTTCAATATGTATTTACCTGTAAGATCTTTTTTGTGGAGTGACCCAGTTTTCTGAAATGAATAGGCAGGTGTGTGCCAGAATGAGAGCCATTGTAATGATGACACATAGGTTCTTTAGAGTGTTTGGCACCATGAAAAGGCTTTTTCATGTCCAGTTTTAACATATACTTTTAATCCTGCTGATTCTATTTGCTGGGTTATCATTTATTTTCATAAACTACTCATGTATACATAAATGCACATAATTCTAGTTTCCTGGCGGTTTCATTTAGTGAACCTCTAGGAAGGTTTCCAGGCTTTCCTTCCACATACCTCTTAGAATCAGGACAGGAATTTATACAGAAACAGCTGTAGAGAAATCTCACAAAACCACTCTAGGGTACACTGATGTTGTGCCTTAGGAAGAACTAATAACCACAGCAAGATGTTCTCTTTTCATCTTTTTTGTTGTAACTGGCAGATAACAAGAGTGCTGGAAAGTGTTGTGGTTTTCCTTCCCACGGGTTTCAGTTAGAAACACTGATGAAACACTGGGGGTTATATTATGATGCATCTGAAGTCTGTATAGTTAGGCTTGTAATGTCTTCTCAGCCACTGGGTTGCAGGACGGGGAATTCACTGTTTGCAAGCCTCAGGGAACCCAGCCTTCAGATCTGCACTCAGCATATAGGTACTTTGTAACATGAATACTGATTATTATCTTAGAGGAGAACAAAGCACGCCAAGCAACGCAATCTACAAATGAAGCATCAGATGTACTCCAAACTATAGGACTAAAGCAAACTTTTGCTGTATTAGATGAGGCACGATACCATTCAAACCATATACCACAAGGTTAATTCACAAGCAAATACATGGTTTAACATGTTTTTATTTTATTTGTATGCTATCTTTTTCTCAATATGAGACCTTAAATGACTTCAAAAGATTTAAACACAGTACAGCTTAATAACATTGTAATAAAAGACAGTAAAAATAAATAAACTGTCCTATTAAAATGACACTAATTTGTAACAGTTTACATGCATTTAAAACAGAGCAATAAGAATAAAACTACAGCCCCCTCTTATTAAAAAAAGACTAATCTACAACTAGGCAACCAGATAGTTGCTAAAGGCCTGTCAAAATAAATAAGTCTTTCTTTGTCAGAAAAAAGAAGGCAGAAAGACAGCAAGCAACTGTGGGAGAGAGAATTTCATAGCTGGAAGCTGCCACTTGGAAGGCCCTCTCATGTATCCTCACAATTTGTGCCTCTGATAGTAGAGGGATTCTCCCACCTAAGGCATTGGATTCAAACAGGTCAGTCTAGGGAGGTACACACTGGAGCCAAGCCATACAGGGCTTTCTGTGTCATAACTAGTACTTTGAATTGCACCTGGTAATGGACCGGCCACCAGTTCAGCCATTGCAACAGGGGAGTTCTATGTTCCCTATAACCAACTCCGATTGGCAGTTTGGATCTACAGAATGTCCAGTTTCAAGAAGGAGCAGCATTATGGATCTGTAGCCAGTTCTGACATTTCCAGGAAACTTTTGCAGGGAGTTGATATTCTTAGTAGTGCATCACTACAGCCCCAAAAGTATGGATTGAGTTACAATGTTCCCTCACTACTTCGCAGTTCACTTTTCACGGAGTCGCTGTTTTGTGAGTTTTTGCCTCCTGTCAACAATGGAGTGTGGAAGGGGGTTTCACCCTCCCCCTCGGGAGAGAGGCAGCCAATCATAAAAAAACGAGAGAGAGGATATACAAACCAGTATGTAAATCACAGCCTTATAGCCCCTTCCTTATAGCTAGCAAAAAAAAAAAAAAAAACAAACACGCGATGCCTTTAAATCTCTCCTCACTTCTACCTCACCCTCGGAATGCTATCTATCTATCTATCTATCTATCTATCTATCTATCTATCTATCTATCTATCTATCTATAGAGAGAGTGTCCCTACTTTGCAGATTTTCACTTTTCACGGGTGGTCCTGGAAAGTAACATCTGCGATAAGTGAGGGAACACTGTATTTATAAAAGGACCAAAGGCTAGAAGGTGCATGCAACCCCTAAACTCAGCAGCAAGTCGGGGGAGGGCACACACCACCAATCTATGAGGCTGGTTGGCATGCCAAGTACTTATTTCTCTCCCTTTTCCTTTTTTAACTGGTAATCTGCTGGAGAGAGGAGAAAGCATTCTTACAGGGGTCTGAAAGCATCATTTCTTAAAATGCTTCTGAAATTAGTCTGAGAGTTTCATGAGATCAGGCTATGAAGCAAAAAGTTGCTCATTTAGTTAACATCTGAATATAGCCATGACTATTTATTAAGCAGTGGCTTTCATACAGAAGCATTTCCAGCAGTGACCACAGGGTGGCTGTATCAAAAGAAATATCATTACAATTTGAATGTCCCATATCCAGAATTCCAAAATCCAATATGCCTCCAAATCCAAAGTTGTCCACATGGATGATTGTGATAGTGACATCTTTGCTTTCGGATGGTTCAAGGTACATAAACTTTGCTTCATGCACAAAATGATTAATTATGTAAATTTTCAGCCTGAGGAGTGTAAGAAACATGAATAAATTTCATATTTACGCTTTGAGTCCCATCTCCAAGGTATCTCATTAAATATGTATATGCAAATACAAGTATTCCAAAATGTGCAAAAATCTCAAATACAAAACACTTTTGAACTCAAGAAATTCCGATAAAGGATTCTATATGTCTGTTTTGCAGGATTTATAGATTGCCTTCTATTTATATTCTCAGGGCAGCTCACAACAAGAAATAAAAATAATAGTCCCCCCTCTCTCCCTCCCTCCCCCCCCTCTCTCTCTCTCACACACACACACACACACAAATGCAGAGACAGACAGACAACATTTCAGGGTATCTGGAACCATAATGTGTTACCAAATAGGTTGGGGAGGGTTGGAAACTTGCCCTGGAACAATTCCTCTGAGTTTTGAGTTTCACAGAGTGTGTCATTCTCCTTTTTGATTGTCACTTTTTAAAGAAGTCAAAGGGAGACAAGAGTCGAATTATAAAGTGCTATTTGACTGTTTTGCTTAATTGGTGGTAATGTATTGTTTTAAATGATGAAATAATCATTTGCTCTCCCACCTGAGGCAAATGTTTTATGTTGTCCTTCATACAACCCTTGAACTGAATATAACAATGACATGGACACATAATATTTTTAACCATTCATTTTGTATTACTTTTCACAAGGATAATGAGTTGATATGTAAATCGATATTTCTAATTTCTAAATATTTCTAAATATTTTAAACCTCAAACCTCTGAGGTTGCCTGCCATAGATGTGGGTGAAACGTCAGGAGAGAATGCTTCTGGAACATGGCCATACAG